AATAAATTGGAGGTATTTAAGGAATTTATAACGGCGCAGCTATTTGTCCACTAGCAAAAAGACGCAATGTTTATTTATGGATAAAATATTATAATATTTACAAGCGCGGATGCTTCCTAAATCGCCAGCAATCAGAGGAAAGATCAACACGAGTCACTCACCTGTCTGTGATTGTTTTAGCGTTACTCCCCAGATCAAATCCAGCTGTAGTTTCCCTCTAGAACAGATCCATTATTGTGAACGCACGTGAAAGAGAGTCAAACCAAGGCATCCTCCATCGCGTGTGAACGTGAGTGAATGAATGAGCTCGGTCTCGAGGCAGGACACAGTAAAAGTTCGCTCTCGCGCATCACCTGATAAACGGACTGCGTATGTGTTTGGGGGCGTGGCCAGGAGCAAGGTGCATTTCAGTAGGATTCGTTTAACTCTTGCTTGTCCACAGAAGAACACCTGAGATTTGGCGTCGAAACTGACCAACATTGAAGACTTAAAATATTCAAGATTATTGTACAGTGGGTCTAAATACTTCCCTCAAGGAAAATGTGTTGATACCATTGATCTATAATAGAGAATATTATATATATATATATATATACATATATATAAAAATAAATAATATAATATATTATTTATTTAATATATATTAGGTTTTATATAAGTATATACTGTATATGAATGCATAAATAATATAAAAATAATATAGAATAAGAAAATATATATATATACAAATAATAAATACAACAATACTGTTCAAAAGTTTGGGGTCAGTCAGATTTATATATATATATATATATATATATCAGTGGTTGATACATTAAATATTGATGGAGAAATACAATTTTAAAGAATTCTGGAAATTCTGAAAAATAATTACAGTTTTACATATAAAGGGTTACATATAAAATTATATATACAGTTCATGCTGTTTCAAATCTTATGCATTTCTTTCTTCTGTGGAACATAAATGATGTATTGAGAATGACCTTTCTCCTTCATTCTTCCAAATATCTTCTTTCGTGTTTCACAGAAGAAAGTAAGTTATACTCGTTTGGAATGACAGAAAGATGAGTAAATGACAAAATGTTCATTTTTGGGGTGAACTATCCCTTTAAACTAAACCAAACTATGAAACTATACTATTGAAACTATACAATTTCATAGGTGTCAGGTCTAATTTAGTAGGCTAAACAAGCCATCTACAGCTTCATAACATGTTAATGGGTCAAAGATGAAAGGACACAACTGTTTAATTAAGGCTAATTTGACCAAAAGACTATAGAAGGGTTAACCAAAACTTAGCAGAGACCATCTCAACTTTTCCTTGGGAAATCATCAACATCATGATAATTATTCAATTATCTGGCAAATGCCAGGGCCACAGTGTTATCTGTTTTTGTGTTAGTCACTCACTTTAGATAAATAGGTGTGTGAGAGGGAGTTGTGTTGGTTGAGGACTTTGCACCTGGATGAACACTTAATTTCCTATATGACAGCATTATCAGTCAAACTTTTGGAAAACACCTTCCCTCTAAGGCATTTTGCTTGATAACTAGAAACAAAAATCATTCAGATTTATCATTATGCAATAGTGGCCTCTAGTGGTCACTGCATATACGAACAGTCAAAAATCACTCTTCAAGAAATAAACACATTCTTATATATTTTTTTATTATATCAAAATACAAAAAGTTTTACGGGGGTTATTACATGGACCAAAGCGTTGGAAAATGTCAACCTAATAGAGCTTGCCAAAATGTGCATATCTGGGCATCTGGTGATGTAAACAATGCAAATTGAACGGCTCCACTGTACAGAACTTCAATTGGGCTGTTAAAGACAGCCCAAACACACACACACACATTTAACACTCCATATGTTTCATTCCCAGGTCTGGTATTGATGTAACTCTCAAGGACAATTCATTTGTCAGGATAGCATATTCTTTTTGATTGGGGTCTCATTCTAGAGCAAGACTTCTTAATAAATGTTTAAAAAATGTGATGAAAGCAATTAAATAAAAATAAAATAACAATGGGATTTCCTTTATTCTCTAAAAATGCCGTTGCTTTCTGCAGGGTTGCTCCCTTTTAATATCAAGAGTGTCCAGCTGAGTTATTGTGGAGGTCAATGTCATACTTCAGAAGTTGGTAGTACAGATACAAAACATCTTTAACATTTACTCCTAGCAGCATGAAGACACACCAGGCACCATATCTTAATATCTGAGCACAGTATGTGGAAACACCGAATGCCCAAGAAAAATACCTCGAAGTAGCCTACTAATCAAGGATGAGAAGATAGAGGCACACTGCACCTTGTTTCATAATCAGAGTCGTCTAGCAATTTGGAGAATTCCTTAGCAGTGGCAGAAGAATCAAACAACGCATCATAATAATATAGTACATAAGGCTTTGGTACAGCACCATACTGTTTTAGAATAATACCTGAAATAAATGAGATTAATTAACAAAAGAAGCCTTCGATCAAGTCATTCAATCCAATAAATCTGAAAGAAAAACAAAACTATTATTCTATGATCTTTTTCTTCACGTAAGAACAGTCTCTTATACATTGCATGTAGGGTGATCAGGATGAAAAACATGTTTGCCCAGAACACATCTTTAGATAATAGAATCTATAAACAATGTACAACACAAATTCAAAAGCAGTTAGAAAGCACAATGCAATTTGAGATATGCTTCCAATAAGCTCTAAGAATGAGGTTTAATGTTAAAACAGTCGTAAATGTGCATAATGCAGTTTTACATTCTAAGTTTTTAGTGCTGGTTAATATGAACAGCAAAAGAAGCAAGAACAAAAAGATGAAACGAGACAGGTCCGAACGAGTGAAATATCTTGATTATGCAAGGTTAGTTCTGTTCAATCGACAGAAAAAGGAAAATAAGGTTTCACGAAGCACCATAAGAAGAAAGCACAAAACTGAATACAGGCAATCAAAGAGTTGATATGACACTTCCTGCAAATGAGCCCTCTTACAGAAGCAAAAGCGGGGCGTGTGTCTACCTGTACAGTATCATATATATTCAAGAGAAACGTTTCAGTCGGGTTTTCCCTTCAAAGACCAGAAGAGCTGAAGAAAATGCCGTCAATCACCATCCACAGATATACAGAGACACCGCACCTGCATCTTAAATCAGCGTGACAGCTTTATGCGAGGATGCATCGCTCCGTTGTGTCCAAAAAAGCTATAAAACATAAATGCCACCGCTTGACGTGTCAGACCGCCACCTGCTCGAGTTACCAGGTTCTCCCCATGCTAAATGAAAAAGTTACTATCATACCGTGGGTACATTTGATGGATTATACATTGATATGCTGCTTCCTCAAGACGGGCAATCTGTCTAAATGCAGGGGGTTTTATTCATGGTGACAGCGAACGTTCACGTGATAAACGTAAGCACATAGCCTACTGAATGTCAAAGCCAAACTTTATTTAACCGTTTTCATACTGAAAGATAGATAGTGAGCGCACAGGACTGCCCTGTGAGAGGGGTTTTATTGCTTGCGGTCCTACTCACCAGGAGAACTAGACAACGGAAATCCCAACAGAGCTAGTTTAGTTAGTTTAAGACAGAGGACTGTGCGTGAGTTTGTGTGTTAACCTCTGAACCACAGCACCACGAGTTCAAAAAAAGACATAGCACCAAGTCATGTGTACAATGTGCCTACATCCTTGCACGTTATATTTCTAGATCATGTAAACTTTATGTGGTTGTTGTAGGACTTGTTAGCAATGAGTTCCTGACAGAACTTGACAAAACACGTAGCAAAAACAGAGTTAAGTCTCAATTGAACACTTCTCTCCCGAAAGCTACAGGCAGGTAATCAGGAATATCTCAAAATAAACACTGCCCATCTCCTCTCAGAGACTACACGATTAAAGCAGCCTTACGAATCGCACCACGTGGGGTGGAAAAAGACATAGGCCTATAGAAATAAGCAATGGAGTCTGCTGACCTAATACTGAATAGCTCAAATACACTGTGAGATGTTTGAGCATTCGTTTTCACATCGAGTAAAATAGTTGTATACAAAAAGAGAGAAAGGAAAGACAAAAAAAAGTAAACAGCCCTTTGGGCACTTAATTAAGTCAAATCCTCTAAACTCAAAATGGCTACTACGAATCTCTATGCACAGAAATTCATCCCAGTGTTTCCTGCTTGTATATTCAGCCTTATTCAAGTACTGCATTAGATTTCATTAGATTTCCTATTAAGTCGTACCGCATTATTAGATTCCATTCGCAGAAGAAGATTCATTTTGGAGTTGATCACATTGGTGCGTAAATGAGCTAAAAGATAGAAACATCACACTGAAAATATTCAGATAAATCTGAATTCTAAGAGCAAATCATACATTCACCATCGGTTGAACTAAACTAGCACATGCTCGAGTAGCTTTCACTTTAGGTAGCAGATCAGCAGCTGTTAGTGAACTCTAGAGACAGTTAACATTCTTCAGAAATAGGCTACTAAAGTCATCATTAATTCAAATAACACAAACTTTGCTATGTCATCAGATGAGATGTGATGGATGGCAAATGGTAAAGATTACAATACAGTTTACTTAAAGGCACAATATGTAAGATTTTTTTATTAAAATTTCCAAAAACCACTAGAACAGTGTTATATATTTTGCTGACTTGTGTACTTGCATTATCCCAGATGTTTCGAAGAATGTTTAAACCCAGAGAAATAAGCAATTTTAACTAGTGACACGGACGACGGTCGACTGTGGCATAATAAAAGCTTGTGTCGTGCTCGTTCAGCGGTCTCGTTTCGCTTCGAAGGCTTTCAGCCTCACCCTGCTTCACTACGTTAATAAATCATTAGCTCATCCATGAACATGATTTCTGCCCGAGTCCCGTTGGATTGCATCGGCTGTGGGGATGAAGACAACAACTCCCATGATTCCACACTCAGTCACGGCGTCATCAAACTACGCCTTTGTCTCTTTGTTTATTTTGAATACGCGCCCTCCAGCAGCGAAAATTACATATTGTGCCTTTAAAAAATTTTTTTTTTTCAAAAAGAGTCGAGCTATTTTAGAGGTCCACTTTTGTAGGTAGAAAGTAACCAAGAAGACTGGTAATCTTTTTTTTCTTCAACTGATTAGAATAAGGACTATTTCACTTTTCTATGTTACATTGATGACTTCATTAGTCTGCACAATATCTACTGTACTTCCTTGGTGTATTGTATGTCCAAAGCAAACATATAACAAATTATTTATTTCAAGGAAGTGATGCAAAGATTAATAATGCATTTCACCACTTCTAACTACATTTGTGCAAGACAAGGACCAAGTAATTCTACTTCAGTTTAAATATTACATTTGCACTTCTGAACATGTCACAAAGGATATTTCTAAAATTGAAAGTGAACCTGAATCTTTTTTTCAGCAGGGGGCTAATATTAATCTTCCTCAAACCACAGATTAAAAAATGCCTTAAAGCTGTCCAATGATGTTAGTCAAATATAATGTCAATTATTTAAAAAATAAATAAATAAGAAAACATGTTTTCAATTCCACCTGCCTTTGCATGAAATTGTACAAATCTGAGAAACTGTTCAAACATTGTCGCAGGACCAGTCTAGTACCGCAGTCATTCTTTTCAAGCTTACAATTTCTATGATATTCTGTGCTTTATATTTAATGTTTAGTATTTTATAAATAAATACATTGTAATTTCTGGGCTTAAATTAATCCCTCATGTTCTGTAATGCTGTCAAAGCTTTGCCACAAACAGACAACATTCGTCATCCAAAATGAAATATGCTAGCTTGCACAAAATATGGTAGAAGTGCTGAAATATGTTCCAGATCATATATTCCTTTTCTCTTTTTTTCTATTCTCTTTTTTGAGGTATATTTTGTAGAAGGAAGAAAAGAAACCCTGTATTAATTATCATGTCTAGAGAGAAATATTTGTACAGAGCATTTAACTCTATCCTTCACAATATACACAGTTCTGACAACGTTATGACAAAGTGGCCAGCAAGATTTTTCCTAGCATGTAATGGAATGCTATTATTTTCTTTTTATTATCAAATGAATAGCTTTTGTCCTGTCCTTTTCTGTTTCTTCCAAAAGAGCACCCCTGTACGTTTTTCCTTTGTGTAAATTTACAGAAAATACAGATATGTGTAGTATATTGTGCCAACCGAAGAACATAAAAAATCATATCTAGTTTAGGCTGATTACAAAACAGTACTGAGAGCTTGTCCATTGTACATTTTTGCTAATGGACAAGGAGACGATCCGCCCCACAGGATAAGTTTTAGTGAGTTTTTTTTTTTTTTGGGGGGGGGGCTCTCAGAGCAGAGAACCATAGTTTGAGGAGGCAGGGTCCATACTGGCCAGGAGGGATTTTCTGTCTTCTCTGGGGTGAAGCCAGCGCGACAGAGAGGACAGATGAAGACAGGGGGACTTTCTAATTGTACTTTTCCACTTTTTCTTTGAGGGAGAGCTGAGATGTTCTCTTTGCTCAGAGGCCTGAGATGCATGCGGCTGCTGGGTCTGAGAGGTGGACACATCTAGAGACAGCAGAGCAAATGAGACACAGCAACAGAACAGATTTTTACATTTTCAGAAGAAAATGTGAGCGTTGCCTGTGCATGCGAACCTCACTGCCACAATGTTAAGGAGTTGTGGGTGGTTGTTTTAGCATGTTTTGGGTGGTTTCTTGTCATTATTAAGCAAATAAGCATGTAGTCAGGACATTAGGAGAGACATCATGTCCATTTCTCCCAGTATGTAATGTACGGGTGAAACTGACCTGTCCTTTTCTTGAATCTGGAGTTGTTGTTCTTGTTGGCTGTTGATTTCTTGGCTTTATTAATACAATAATAAATCAGTGCTTCAAAGCTCTCAGACCCTGCAGGGACTCTCACTGCACCTAGATGCTCCCTGTGAGAGACAAACACAATGATGCATTACTTCACACCGCCACCAGGGTGCACTGCCCTCCACCGGCCAGATCAAACTGAGATTTAGCTCCTGACAGGGACCACTTTGGCTGCCCCCAATGCCAAGTGCAAAGCCTTCATGACAAAAGTACCATTCATCAACATGTACTGTGCAATTTAGCAATTAATCAACTTGTTTGTTAGATATTGTTTAGAAAATACTGTTTATCAAAATGAAATCTTATTCATTTTAATTGGCCACATTTCATTTGTTATCAGAATAAAAATTAAATACCAAATCATTTATTTTTAAAGAAAAAAACAAAGACTCTTCCTCATTAGATGGGTACTCTGCAAATTAAAAGCACATTGTATTAGTTGAGTTAGTCTGGTGAGTTGAATTTAGCATTTTCCCCACTCATTTACTACGGAATACACCTAAATTAACATGAATAAACCTTTACCTCATGTTGTACACTGCTGCCATGCTGCCAGCACTGTCCAATCAAATTACAACTAGCCAAAATCTCCTGTTTCCCAGTAAACTCACTGGTTTCCTATAAAACTGACCACAGAGGTCACATTTCTTGTAAAGTGTTGTCTTTTATTGCACATGCCATTCCTCTATCATGGCAGAGATCATGACACTCAAACGTCCATACTGAAGAGCCAACAACTCATGGGTTCACAAGGCACAGAAACACAAAGCGTTTACAGACAGTCTCCCCTGCTGCTGAGGCTGTGGAAAGAGAAAGTGAAAGTGATTAATAGAGGGGGGTGGTAGACATGACTGAGCACTAAAGTCCGCCACATCAAACACACTCTGGTTACCATGAATACACTGTACAGTGGCTTCACCATGCTGACAGGAGAAGAGATGGCAGGGAGGGGAGAATGGCCAGTAAAGAACAGTCACATAAAAGAAAGGAACCAAACCACTAGGACGACAAAATATGACAAGAAATTTTAGTTTGAGAACTGCTGTTACTGATTCGGCATCGAGGAGAAGAGTATTTAGAAAAGGCATGCATGATATTTTTGTACATGGAAACAAAATTTTAAAGGGGAATATCCAAGTGTGCCTCTAAAAGGGCAAAAGTGCAAAATTTCCTGGAAAAAAATGGTCTGTATTTAATAATCTCAAAAATGCTTTGATAAGCAATACTGAAAAATGGCATTCTTTGTATTCCAGCAATAAAAATATTCAGAATATTTGCCAAAAAAGACAATGTATTACTGATATCATGTAATAAAAAAGTCATTCCCCTTTAAATGAGAATGATTTAAGGCCCCGCCTGCAAACCCCTCCCCTTTCAGACATGGATTCGACCCTTACCTATTGTGGTGTAGAGGACCTGGTCACAACAATGCTGCCCAGATAGCTGAGATCAATCAAAAACAAAGAGGGTAAGACTACCAGAGTCTCCAGAGAAAAGCGCCGTCTCTACTCTAGATGAGGATGAGTGTTGCAAGAGATGAGCGCACACTCATCCCTGGCAACGAAGGCCGCCTAAGAAGGCCATCGTGATGGTCAAAGCCCTGAGTTAGAGGAAGTGAGAGAAATGGAAGGAAATGAGCTGGAAAGGGTAAATGATGTGATCAGCCCACAAAAGAGGACAAAGAAGGAAGAGCCATGGGATCATCATGAATGCACTAGAAAATCCTTAATCATGAAAAATGTTATACACTATGATAATTTCCTATATCAAAATTACACTGTTTAAAGGTTAAAGGAGAATAGGATTTGAAGAAAATAAAGAAAAGTATGGAAATTTATCCTGTGAACCCAATAAGGAGTTATACTGGAGGACATGGAAATAAATTTGTGCATATGTAAATAGTTTATAGTAAGATGTACATGTAAAAATATTTTAACCGAAAATCGCAAAAGCATGAAAGCATTGCTTTTGCGGTACAGATGATGAATTACAATCTCCTTTGTCATTTTGGAGTCTCCAATGGTACAGTTCACCTACCCTGGAGAGGGTTCTGAGGGGAGCATCTCCTCATCTGTCCTTCTCTGAGATGGCATCTGGCCGAAAGCATCACTGCTCTCCGTAGGGGGTGAAGGGGACTGAGAGGGGTAGCTGGCCGCGGCTGTGGCAAAGGCCATGTGTGCACGGTAGCTGAGGCTGGGCCGCTGCCCGCTCTGGCCTTGGGTAGGTGAAGTGGCAGGGGAAGAGGAGAGAGACCTTCGGGAGAAGGAGACACTGGCGGGGTGGCGGGCGCTCTCGGGCATCTCTTGAGAGCGGGAAGACCGCAGGATGCTGGGGCGGGGAGGAGGGCGGACGAGAATGTCTGGAGAGCCGGCGTGTGAGCTGGGAGGGGTCTGGGTGAGAGGGGAGAGTCGTGACGGCTGCAGGACCACCTGCTGCAGGCCGAGATCCATCCTTCGTGCCGCCCTGGGGCTCAGCCAAGGCTGGGCCTCAGACCTCCAGCCGTCCGAGCTCTCACTGTGCAGTGTGCTGGGGCTCCCCATGCGGGCCGTGGCGCCTGAGTAAGGCAACACTGGTACGCCCATACCGTGGGCAGTGTGTCTCAACTGCCCCAGAGTCTGGGCCTGTTGCATAGTTATATGCTTGGCTGAAAGGCCCTGAGGTGGAAACCTGCCGGGAGATCTGCTCAGGTGGGCTCTAGGGGCCTCTAGCTGGAGGAAAGCAGAGCTTGAAGGGAGCTGAGAGGTGGTGCTAAGAGTACGACTATGGGAGGGGTATGGCGGGGGCTCGGGGAGGTCCCGGTGGAGATAGAATGATGAATGACGTGGTGGAAGAGCGAGACGGGGACCCTCCTGACCTAGAAAGGGGAAGTCAGGAGGCTGCCAGATCTCGGTCGAGCGAGAGGAGGGAGGGCTATGCACCAGTGGGAGGGCATGGCTGGGGGCGCCATACTGATGGATCCTCAGCTCCTCCCTCAACCACTGCAATGCTGAAGCTGAAATAATGCAATACAGCTGAAAAAATTTATAATTTTTTACAAATCCAATAAAGTTGTGATCTGTGCAAAAATAATTAATTAACAAGAGAGATAACTTTGTCTTGAAGTTAAGAAGGACTTACCTCGTTTGCGTTTAAGCTTGCGACGATGCTGCTTGTTGACAAAACATGCAGCGAGCGTGCTGAAGAGAAACCCTCAATGCGTCGTGGCTTGAGGGACGTGTCGATGTCACTGGGGTCCATGATGAATCGGCCATCAGGTCCACGGCTGATCAGCTCGATGGGCGTGGTGACCTCAGCCTCGTGCTTGGACACGCTGTACTTCTTACTGGTTATTGCTCTCTTGGTTTTCTTATAGAGGGAAAGCTCTTTCTCTTTCCTAGGGCTTGGCAACTTCTTAACGTAAAGACCATGGCCACCCATGCTGGCCAGAGATGGGGACCGGGAGGAAGTAATGCTCTCAGGACTGATCTTCCCAGAGGACAGCCTATCAATCAAAAAAGACATGGGGCTTAGGACTGATCCCTGGGGAATACCAGAACTTAAAATCAGCACTATCAAAACAAGAATCACTCCATCTTAAAACATGGAATATAATTCAAAAGGAAATGACATGGCATTACACTTTCTTGAGCACTTATTTTAAAATTAACAAAATTCAGGGTAATTAGCCTTTATCCACATGTTTTTTATAACAGTAATTAGAATAAGCACTGATCTTAATTTAAAGGCCATCTTAAATAAAAGTGAAAGACGATGTCAGGGTGAGAGATAATGGAGAACAACAGAATGGGGACAGGACATAGAAACAGATAAGTCAGTACAGGCACCAGTGAGCTAACATAATATCAGCTAAACTATATCTTCACCCAACTCTTCAATAATAATCCATCTTGCTGGCTATAAGTGGTCAAACAAGTGTCACAATTTGGAGCAGCTGAGGGCTGAAGTTGTCTATTCCCCTAAAGAAGCAGTTTAGCTCTGCACCACTAACTGACATCATGCAGCTACGGCAGACAGGCACATGTTAGCGCCTGCTGCAGAGAGAGATGCAGGTGCAAGCACTCACTGAGGGCTGGTGGATGGGGGCCTGTAGCTGCTCCTGTCTGGCTCTTCCCAGTAGGGCTCAATGCCAGGCAAGGGGGTAAGAGGAGGCCTGCGGTGACAAAAACACAATAGAGACGGGGCAGAGTCGGCCGTCAACCAGACTATGGTTCCACACTGCTATGTGGAAATGGGTGGGATGGGAGCATGAGACTGCAGCTCTATGAAGACCACAATGGAATCGGATAAGAGCGTGAGTCCCAGTTTGAACTGGGTTGGAGATGCTACCCTTAATGTTCTCCTTCCTTTAGCTCTGGTTATAAATGTGAGAGTGACATGCTGCCATGCCTGCACTGATCAATTCAGAGGAGCTGGGGGATAAGCTTCATGTTTATAATATATTCTTACGCTATTGAAATGTTCTATCACAACCTGACTGGACAGCAAAAAAAAAGAAAGAGCTTGAGAAGATTGTTTGTAATAGCAAATCAATGCATCTCACTGCTGAAAAGCAGAGGTAAGCACAGATAGATTTATAGCAACCACTTTAGTGACCACTCAAATCCTCCTCCATGCATCCCTCACGGTAACGCAGCAGCTGCTAGGGTCAGCTGTTTGATTTCCCAAACTGTACATGCTCTCTCTCTTTCTCCCTCTCAAGCCATGTGCCTGGTAGTCAACAGATTTGCAGAAGTGCAAAGTATAATGGATGTTACCATGCACTGGTACTTACGGAGATTCAATGCTTTTCCTTGTGTGCGTAATCGATAGTGGAGGGTCTAAGGACAAATCACACAATGCCACATCAGCATGACAATATGCTTCAGATCTTTATCTCAACCACTGCAATGCTGAAGCTGAAATAATGCAATACAGCTGAAAAAATTTATAATTTTTTACAAATCCAATAAAGTTGTGATCTGTGCAAAAATAATTAATTAACAAGAGAGATAACTGTGTCTTGAAGTTAAGAAGGACTTACCTCGTTTGCGTTTAAGCTTGCGACGATGCTGCTTGTTGACAAAACATGCAGCGAGCGTGCTGAAGAGAATAGCAGCCGCCAAGAAACAGATGGTGGCCACGATGCCGGCCACCACTGGCTTGGCCAGCCCCTCGTCTGAGATCTCTGTGGGAGGGAAGGGGTCTGAGAGAGGAGACACTCCAGAACATGAAATTAGGATGGGAGAATGCAGCAAGCATGTATTCACAAAGCAGGTTAACGTGATTGCTGACAGTGATTCAGTTAGTGTGCATCAGAGGTGGGACCAAGTCATTGTTTTGCAAGTCACAAGTAAGTCTCGAGTCTTTGCATTCAATTCTCGAGTCAAGTCCCGAGTCAAGACAGGCAAGTCTTAAACAAGTCATTAGTGCTCTTTGCCCAAATTAGTGTCTCAGTATTAATTACCATATCAAATTCATAGTAATTTATATCAGGAAGGCAGGTAGAATATGTTTGACATAGTTCAATTTCATGTGAGATGGGTGCCCTTAGTAAAACTACTCAAGTTCAGTTTAGGGATTGTGCCAAAGATTGTGGACAAGCAGTGAAAAAAAAACTATTTTATTAGTAACAGAATAGCAAAGACAACATAATTTCATAGAAATAACAGCTGCAACATACTTTGCATGGTGGCCACGATGCCGGCCACCACTGGCTTGGCCAGCCCCTCGTCTGAGATCTCTGTTCCTGGCCCTAACCAGGCCAGGAACAGACTAACAAAGGAGTTGCCCAAATTAGAGTCTCAGTATTAATTACCATATCAAATTCATAGTAATTTATATCAGGAAGGCAGGTAGAATATGTTTGACATAGTTCAATTTCATGTGAGATGGGTGCCCTTAGTAAAACTACTCAAGTTCAGTTTAGGGATTGTGCCAAAGATTGTGGACAAGCAGTGAAAAAAAAACTATTTTATTAGTAACAGAATAGCAAAGACAACATAATTTCATAGAAATAACAGCTGCAACATACTTTGCATGTGTGCATAAGAATATATGCTTCTAGGTGTTATTTCGAAGTCAATGAGCCATTATTTGGAACCTCAATAAAACAGATTTAAAAATATGTGAGCGGAAACGCAGAAAGAACTGCTTTGAAAGAACTAGAAGAAATAACTGCTAGCAACATACTTGGTAATAAAGCTCTTCTGATTCTGATTCTGATTCTGATGTGTGCATAAGAATATATGCTTCTAGGTGTTATTTCGAAGTCAATGAGCCATTATTTGGAACCTCAATAAAACAGATTTAAAAATATGTGAGCGGAAACGCAGAAAGAACTGCTTTGAAAGAACTAGAAGAAATAACTGCTAGCATGCTTTACAAGTGAGAGGAAACATGCAATTTGGATGCAGACAAACTCGTGAAGACAATCATTCAAAAATGCTGTGCTACCATCTTTTATAACTAAGAGCAACAAAGACAAAATCATTTAATAGAAAAAAATGTTGTACGTTAAATGTTAAGTTTATAATATGCATAGCTGATCACTAAATTTAGGGGCTATGTGCGCTATAGGCCTACAGAGTGATTTACAACACGTGAATTAATTAATTTATCCTGAAAGAAATGGAAGTGACATGAGTGCCTGGTGAAGTGGGAGAAAAATTTTGTAGCCTATATTTTATAGTTATATATACAATACTTATTTTGTGAAAGAAACACTTCTTCAAATGATATTTTAAATGATCATTAGGCCTATTGCCGCTTGCCCACTTCAGACATTAGGTCTAATGTGCTTTGTTTCTTCTTCAAATTATAGCTAAATGGTTTGCAATGATTTAATTTTAAATCTAGATTAAATCAAGGTTTATCTAATAATTCTGTTGCACCAAACTTTAAACCTTTAAAAATAAGCAGGTTTACATTTTAACCCATCATTTTGATGCTGGATTTAAGTTATATTTAAGATGAACTTTAATCCTGTTGCACAATAACTTTAAACTCAGATTTAAATCTCGATTATGGATTAACTTTAAACTTAATGGAGGTTTAAATACAATAAAATGCACATGCAAATAAAATATGTAACTGATCGAACAAAAACAGGTCTCAGAGAGGTGTTTATTACAAATAAAAAAATGAAAATGAAAGCACATCGAGCGGGATGCCCGGGATGCGTATCCGTCACTCGGTGTCGAACAAACAAAAGAAGTGAGGAATATTTAACAGAAGCGGTCACGGTGATGATGAGGCGAGCACCAGTGATCGCGGCTGCACCTCTCGTTCTCATGCCTGCTCCGTGTGTCTGCTGGGCGGCGATCAAACAGACAGGGCAGTGCTTTTCACTAGCGGAGTTCGCTAGACGAATCATGTAATTTTTTATTTTTTTTTCTTATCTTGGCTCTTTTGTCGTAAGTTATGTTATTACTCCATTAATGTATACTAGCCTATAAATCCAGTGCTCCCTGAACGCAGTCTCTGGCTTATTGCAAGTCAAGCGCAAACACGCTGCAGGGACGCATCTATAACGACTTTGATCTGATCATAAAGTCTTTCCAAGTCACAGGGCTCAAGTCCAAGTCAAGTCTTGAATCATTGCTGTCAAAGTCTAAGTCGAGTCTCAAGTCTTCTTTAATTATGTGAGTCGAGTCGAGTCGCAAGTCATAAAATTTGGGACTCGAGTCCGAGTCAAGTCTCGAGTTATGTGACTCGAGTCCACACCCCTGATGTGCATTATAAAGCAGACTATAGCATAGTGTTAACACAACTGCAGCCTATCAGATCAGAAGCACCTTTCCTATTTAGATCGAGAGGGCATGCGGCATACAGATTTTTGAGCCAAGCGGGTTTTGAATGCAACTTCCAAAAACAAATTAATATCTTAATTAAGTTTTTTGTAGGTAAGGAAAACATCCTGTGGCAGCAATTACATCTAACTTTAGTCCATCTAACTTCCATTTGGAGCAGAAATTAAACAATTCAGCTTTATCATTCAACAAAAATATCTTAAATAAGCCAGGACCTGCCACTGATGCCCCCTCCAAAAAAATAGGTGCATGACACCCTTGTATCACATCTACAACAGCAAAAAAACTAAACAAAAAAAAACATACAGTAGGGCACTAACTACAATGAGCAGCAGAGGGCAGTGAAGCTCTAGGTGGCTGAAGCAATGAATTGGTGCATTTTAGTTACGCCCCTTATTCTCACCTGTACTTGACACTCCCACCACATTACTGCTCTCACTGACAAGATCATCCATTACAGCTAGCGCTCGGAATTCATACCAAGAGTCCTGGGAGACAGAGAAACAGGTCAGTGGGTCACAAATCCTGAGGCCAATAGGTTGAAGTGTCAGATCTACCAACAGATTTGTAACATTTGTAACATTTGTAGCAGACTCTGCTGTATGTCAGACTGAATTAAAATGACATCCTCTGAGCTTTTCAGTAGAAATGCATTCCCTCACTGCTTTTCTCTAAATAGTCACAGAACTGCCATTCTCTGAAACAAATGAATGTGCACAAGATGGAAAATTTCTGTAAATTAGACATTTTCACTCAGAAATACATCAAATGACAGAAGTAAATTGGATTTCAAACTGCAAATAGCATTGACTTTAATTTCACCTCTATTATTTATGGGTAACTTTGAGGACCATACAAAAGTATGTAGTGATATTAAAGTAGTAAGTATTACCTGAATAAGATCTCTTGCTATGATTTCAGTCTCAGTGGCAGGAATCAAGTCATCCAGAACCTCCCACCTTTCCCCCAGACGGAACTCGATGATGTAATGGTCAATTGGTGAAGAGTGATTGGCCGGAGGAAGCCATGTCAACAAAACACCCTGCTGTGTCCGGTTGGCTGTGAGGCACCGTGGTGGAGTTAGAAGCACCAGTGGTTCAGGGGTACTTATGGGATACCCTAGGAAAGATAAAGGGAGGTTGTAAACGCATCTCATTTAGATGGTCATTCACAGGTCCATTACAAGATCTAGTTTGTGTAGAAGTGTCACCCACCTCCTGTAGTCACAGTGACTACCTCACTGAAGGGGCCGGTGCCCAGCTTGTTCTGGGCCAGCACACTAAATTGATAGGCAGTCTTTGGCTCCAACCCCTGGACCACCAACCACGTCTGAGAGCCGGGCACAGGTATGGACAGCCAGTCATGTGGCCCTAAATCATTCTTCACCTTTCTATTGGATTATACCAAAGAGTTCCATTATAAAACTTCAATTGAGTACAATGAAAAACTATATATTTCTTGACAAACAGTGAAATACGAATAAATTGAGAATAAACATTCCATTGATTCATTCATTGCATTTACATATCCATATAATCCATAGCTTTAACAGCTAGTCTTTTAAAAAAAAGACTACACGAAGTACATTTAGAAAAAAAGTGAGGAAAGAACTATATTTAGTGGGGGTTCTGGCAGGACTTACACCGGGCCGTACCAGACCGAGAACGTCTGTTCAAAGCCTCCGTCATATCCAGGTTCCCAGGAAACATTAGCGGAGCTTGTGGATGCTGACACGTGGACATTAGTTGGCGCATGTGGACTAGTGCCTGAAATGGTTATTTTAAATTAGTAGTGTCTGCAAATGCTAGTAATATTGCTCATACTAAATATTATGGATTTGAATTAACCACTAACCCATAGCATTTAACTTTGGCACATAACTCTTCTTAAATGATACATTGGATAAATGACACATCAGATCATGTGGCTTGTGGAGCTGAGACATTTCTAGCCAGAATATCATAGTGACTTGAGGATGGGCTTGTTTGACCTGGGCCAATAAGTAAGCACTTAGAAACACCTTAGCAAGGTTTGCACAGGCTGACACCTTTTTGTTTTATGCATTTTTTTCTACCATTTTTATTTATGCCACTTAGGCAATTAAAAACACAAAATTCTACATTACCGTTCAAAAGTCTAGGGTTGGTATGATTTTTAAATATTTTTTAAATAAGTATATTATGCTCGCCAAGGCTGCATTTATTTGATCAAAACATAATAAAAACAGTAATATTGTGAAATATTTTTACAGTTTAAAAAAATGTTTTTAATACATTTTAAAAAGTAATTTATTCACATGATCCTTCCGAAATCATTCTAATATGCTGGTCCATGCTAAAACTGTTGTGCTGCTTAATATTTTTGTGGAACCCATGAAACACTTTTTTCAAGATTCTTTGATTAATATAGTTTAAATGAACAGCATTTATTGGAAATATAATTTTTTTTTTTAACAACGTAAGCCTTAACTGTCACTTTTGATAAATTTGATGTGTCCTCACTGAATAAAACAATTAACTTATTTTTAAAAATCTTACTGACCCCAAATTTTTGAACAGTAGTGTATAATCATTAGTGAATCAATCACATATCTACCAAAACCCATTAGCAAAATGAGACCTAGCAAAACAGAATCCATTATATGACATGCTGAATATAATGTGAAAGAACGAATTCACTAAACATTTACAAGCAGCAGGGTCATTGTTAGGGGAGGCATCCGGGAACATTGTCTATTAGTGGCCACAATTCATTCTTAGTGATTAACCCAAAATCTTTAAGGTCTAGGCCAGACAGTTTGTTCTAAAACAACTACTTTCCAAGATGGATTTAGCCTTGTCAGACACAGCTAGAAAGATTTATGAGAAACTGAAGAACAGGAGATCCATTTGTCTGACCTGAACATCCTCTCACGTATGTTTTCTGACTAGACAATAAACTAACTCTGTGCACAGACTGAGCCAGTCTGATAATAGCAGGAGAGTGCAGGACGATGGAAACACTGAAGTGGAGGATGGATTCAGGAGTTCCATCACATATCTTATCGGCACCTAGCAGCTGCGGAGGATCTGTTAATTGCTCCCTCATTAAGCATAATCTTTAGACTGTCATGACACCAGTCCATCACCTAACAAATAACGTGTGTGTAGGGTTGTGTGCCCGCTGACACATCACTTGTCATCCGAGGGCGAACTCTCAGACGTGACAGCTGAGTTACAGCTCCCACGAGCTACACTGGCCCCCCTACTGTAATGACTCACTTGTGCAGCTTGGCCGGGAATCGTAATGTCCTAGCCTACACTTCCTATCTGGCACATGTTGAGAAATCACATATCTGACGTATTTTGTGTCCTTAAGAACCTTCGAAATTGAACATAGTGTGCTGACCTGGGCCAAAAAATGTACAGTACAGAAATGTAATTAAAAGAATAAAAATATTGTAATTAAGGTAATTTTACAGTGTGCAATACTACAGCCTTCATAGATAGATAGATAGACAGACAGACAGACAGACAGACAGACAGATAGACAGACAGATAGATAGATAGATAGATAGATAGATAGATAGATAGATAGATAGATAGATAGATAGATAGACAGACAGACAGACAGACAGACAGACAGACAGACAGACAGACAGACAGACAGACAGACAGA